TTTCTGAATCTTTGCAGGTATCTGCCCACCTGGCAAGGCATGTTGGTAGAAAACACCAGGCTGGTCTCTTTGTGAGTATGGATCAGAGGTAACAGGTGGTATTCCAGTCTTCTGGCCAGCTGGTCCAGGAGCAGCTGAAACTTTCGGAGCCTCTGCAGGTATCTGACCTCCTGGCAAAGTCTGCTGGTAGAAAACACCAGGCTGGTCTCTTTGTGAGTATGGATCAGAGGCTGCAGGTGGTATACCAGTCTTGTGGCCAGCTGGTCCAGGGACAGATGAAATTTTCAAGGCCTCTGCAGGTATCTGACCTCCTGGCAAAGTCTGCTGGTAGAAAATATCAGGCTTATCTCTTGGTGAATAGGAAGGAGAGGTTGCAGGTGATACGTCAGTCTTCTGGTCAGCTAGTCCAGGAGCAACTGAAACTTCCAGAGCCTCTGTAGGATTCTGACCAACTGGCAAGGCCTTTTGGTGGAAAACATCAGGCTTATCTCTTGGTGAATAGGAAGGAGAGGTTGCAGGTGGTATGCCAATCTTCTGGCCAGCTGATCCAAGAGCAGCTGAAACTTTCAGAGCCTCTGCAACTATGTGACCACTTGGCAAGGCTTGCTGGGAGAAAACACCAGGCTTGTCTCTTTCTGAGTAGGTAGCAGAGGGTGCAAGTGGTATGCTAGTCTTCTGATCACCTGGTACAGGGGTAGCTGAGACTCTTAGGGCATCTGCAGTTATCTGATCATCTGCCAAGGCATGTTGGTAGAAAACACCAGGCTTCTCTCTTTGTAAGTCAGAGGGTGACAATACACTTGGCAACCCAGTCTTCAGGTCATCTGTTCCAGGAATAGCTGAAAATTTCTGAACCTCTGCCGGTATTTGACCACCTGGCAAGGCCTGCTGGTAGAAAATATTAGGCTTTTCTTTTGGTGAATAGGAAGGAGAGGTTGCAGGTGGTATGCCAGTCTTCTGGCCAGCTGGTCCCAGAGCAACTGAATCTTTCAAATCCTTTGCAGGTATCTGACCACCTGTCAAGGCCTGTTGGTAAAAAACACCAGGCTGGTCTCTTTGTGAGTAAGGAACAGAGGTAACAGGTGGTATGCCAGTCTTCTGGCCAGCTGGTCCAGGAGCAGATGAAACTTTCAGAGCATCTGCAAGTATCTGACCACCTGGCAAGGCCTGTCGGTAGAAAACACCAGGCTGGTCTCTTTGTGAGTAGGGAACAGAGGTTGCAGTTATGCCAGTCTTCTGTTCAGCAGGTCCAGAAGTAGCTGAAACTTTCAAGGCCTCTACAAGTATCTGACCTCCTGGCAAGACCTGTTGGTAGAAAACACCAGGCTGGTCTCTTTGAGAGTAGGGAACAGAGGTTGCAGGTGGTATGCCAGTCTTCTGGTCAGCTGGTCCAGAAGCAGATGAAACTGTCAGGGCCTCTGCAGGTTTCTGACCACCTGACAGAGTCTGTTGGTAGAAAACATCAGGCTTGTCTCCTGGTGAATAGGAAGGAGAGGTTGCAGGTAGTATGCCAGTCTTCTGCCCAGCTGGTCCAGGAGCAGATGAATGTTTCAGGGCCTCTACAGGTATCTGATCACCCGGCAAGCCCTGTCGGTATAAAACACCAGGCTGGTCTCTTTGTGAGTAGGGAACAGAGGGTCCAGGTGTTATGCCAGTCTTTTTATGGTCAGCTGGTCCAGAAGCAGCTGAAACTTTTAGGTCCTCTGCAGGTATCTGATCACCCGGCAAAGCCTGTCGGTATAAAACACCAGGCTGGTCTCTTTGTGAGTAGGAAAGAGAGGGTGCAGGTGGTATGCCAGTCTTCTGGTCAGCTGGACCAAGAGCAGCTGAAAGTTTCAGGGCCTCTGCAGGTATCTGATCACCCAGCAATCCTTGTTGGTAGAAAACACCAGGCTGGTCTCTTTGTGAGTAGGGAACAGAGGGCACTGATATTATGCCAGTCTTCTTGTCAGCTGGTCCAGAAGCAGCTGAAAGTTTCAGGGCCTCTACAGGTATCTGATCACCTGGCAAGGCCTGTCGGTAGAAAACACCAGGCTGGTCTCTTTTTGAGTAGGGAACAGAGGGTGCAGGTGTTATGCCAGTCTTTTTCTGGTCAGCTGGTCCAGAAGTAGTTGAAACTTTCAGGTCTTCTGCAGGTATCTGATCATCCAGCAAGGCTTGTTGGTAGAAAACACCAGGTTGGTCTATTTGTGAATAGGGAAGAGAGGTTGTAGGTGGTATGCCAGTTTTCTGTCCAGCTGGTCCAGGAACAGCTGGAACTTTCAGGGCCTCTGTAGTTATCTGACCACTCGGCAAGGCCTGTCGGTATAAAACACTAGGCTGGTCTCTTTGTGAGTAGGGAACAGAGGGCACAGATGTTATGCCAGTCTTCTGGTCAGCTGGTCCAGAAGCAGATGAAAGTTTCAGAGCCTCTGCAGATATCTGATCACCCAGCAAAGCCTGTCGGTATAAAACACCAGGCTGGTCTCTTTGTGAGTAGGGAACAGAGGGTGCAGGTGGTATGCTAGTCTTCTGGCCAGCTGGTCCAGGAGCAGCGGAAAGTTTCAGGGCTTCTGCAGGTATCTGATCACCGGGCAAGGCCTGTGGGTATAAAACACCAGGATAATCTCTTTGTGAGTAGGGAACAGAGGGTCCAGGTATTATGCCAGTCTTCTGGTCAGCTAGTCCAGGAGCAGCTGAAAGTTTCAGGGCCTCTGCAGGAATCTGATCACCTGACAAAGCATTTCGGTATAAAACACCAGGCTGGTCTCTTTGTGAGTAGGGAACAGAGGGCGCAGATGTTATGCCAGTCTTCTGGTCAGCTAGTCGAGAAGCAGATGAAAGTTTCAGGGCCTCTGAAGGTATCTGATCACCCGGCAAAGCCTGTCGGTATAAAACACCAGGCTGGTCTATTTGTGAGTAGGGAACAGAGGTTGCAGGTGGTATGCCAGTCTTCTGGCCTGCTGGTCCAGAAGCAGCTGAAAGTTTCAGTGTCTCTGCAGGTATCTGACCACCCGGCAAGGCTTGTTGGTAGAAAACACTAGGCTGGTCTCTCTGTGAGTAGGGAAAAGAGCTTGCAGATAGTATGTTAGTCTTCTGGCCAGCTGTTCCAGAAGCAGCTGAAAGTTTCAAGTCCTCTGAAGGTATCTGATTACCTGGCAAGGCCTGTCTATATAAAACACCTGGCTGGTCTCTTTGTGAGTACGGAACAGAAGGTCCAGATGTTATGCCAGTCTTCTGACCAGCTGGTCCAGAAGCAGCTGAAACTTTCAGGGCCTCTGCAGGTATCTGATCATCCAGCAAGGATTGTTGATAGAAAACACCAGGCTGGTCTCTTTGTGAGTAGGGAAGAGAGGGTGCAGGTAGTATGCTAGTCTTATGGCCAGCTGGTCCAGAAGCAGCTGAAAGTTTCAAGGCCTCTGCAGGTATCTGATCACCCGGCAAGGTTTGTCGATATAAAACACCAGCCTGGTCTCTTTGTGAGTAGGGAACAGAGGTTGTAGGTGGTATGCCAGTCTTCTGGCCAGCTAGTCCAGAAGCAGCTGAAAGTTTCAGGGCCTCTGCAGGTATCTGTTCACTCAGCAAGGTCTGTTGGTATAAAACACCAGGCTGGTCTCTTTGCGAGTAGGGAACAGAGGTTGCAGATGCTATGTCAGTCTTCTGTCCAGCTGGTCCAGAAGCAGCTGATAGTTTCAGGGCCTCTGTAGTTATCTGATCACTCGGCAAGGCTTGTTTATAGAAAACATCAGGCTGGTCTCCTTGTGAGTAGGAAAGAGAGGGTGCAGATGTTATGCCAGTCTTCTGGCCAGCTGGTCCAGAAGCAGCTGAAAGTTTCAGGGCCTGTGCAGGTATCTGATCACCTGGCAAAGCCTGTCGGTATAAAATAACAGGCTGGTCTCTTTGTGAGTAGGAAAGAGAGGGTTCGGATGTTATGCCAGACTTCTGGCCAGATGGTCCAGAAGCAGCTGAAAGTTTCAGGGCCTCTGCAGGTATCTGACTACCTGGCAAGGCTTGTTGGTAGAAAACACCAGGCTGGTCTCTTTGTGAGTAGGGAACAGAGGTTGCAGGTGGTATGCCAGTCTTCTGGTCAGCTGGTCCAGGAGCAGCTGAAAGTTTCAGGGCCTCTGCAGGTATCTGACTACCTGGCAAGGCTTGTTGGTAGAAAACACCAGGCTGGTCTCTTTGTGAGTAAGGAACAGAGGTAACAGGTGGTATGCCAGTCTTCTGGTCAGTTGGTCCAGGAGCAGCTGAAACTTTCAGGGCCTCTGCAGGTATCTGACCACCCGGCAAGGCCTGTCGGTATGAAACACCAGGCTGGTCTCTTTGTGGATAGGGAACAGAGGGTGCAAGTGTTATGCGTGTCTTCTTCTGGTCAGCTGGTCCAGGAGCAGCTGAAAGTTTCAGGGCCTCTGAAGTTATATGACCACCTGGCACAGACTGTTGGTAGAAAATATCAGGCTTGTCTCTTGGTGAATAAGAAGGAGAGGTTGCAGGCAGTATGCCAGTCTTTTGGCCAATTGGCCCAGGAGCAGATGAAATTTTCAGGGCTTCTGAAGCTATCTGACCACCTGGCAAGGCCTGTTGGTAGAAAAAACCAGGCTGGTCTCTTTTTGAGTAGGGAACAGAGGTTGCAGGTGGTATGCCAGTCTTCTGGCCAGCTGGTCCAGAAGCAGCTGAAAGTTTCAGGGCCTCTGAAGGTATCTGACCACCTGACACAGTCTGTTGGTAGAAAACATCAGTCCTATCTCTTGGTGAATAGGAAGGAGAAGTTGCAGGTGGTATGCCAGTCTTCTGTCCAGCTGGTCCAGGAGCAGATGAAAGTTTCAGAGCCTCTGCAGGTATCTGATCACCCTGCAAGGCCTGTCGGTATAAAACACCAGGATGGTCTCTTTGTGAGTAGGGAACAGAGGTTGCAGGTGGTATGCCAGTCTTCTGTCCAGCTGGTCCAGAAGCAGATGAAAGTTTCAGGGTCTCTGCAGATATCTGATCACCTGGCAAGGCCTGTCGGTAGAAAACACCAGGCTGGTCTCTTTGTGAATAGGGAAGAGAGGGTACAGGTGTTATGACAGTCTTCTGGCCAGCTGGTCCAGAAGCAGCTGAAACTTTCAAGGCCTCTGCAGGTATCTGACCACCTGACAGAGTCTGTTGGTAGAAAACATCAGGCTGATATCTTGGTGAATAGGAAGGAGAGGTTACAGGTGATATGCCTGTCTTCTGGCCAGCTGGTCCAGGGGCAGAAGAAATTTTCAGGGCCTCTGCAGTTATCTGACCACCTGGTAGGGCCTCTCGGTAGTAAACACCAGGCTCATCTCTTTGTGAGTAGGGAATAGAGGTTGCAGGTGTTATGCCAGTCTTCTGGACAGCTGGTCCCAGAGCAACTGAATCTTTCAAACCCTCTGCAGGTATCTGACCTCCTGATAAGACCTGCTGGTAGAGAACACCAGGCTGTTCTCTTTGAGGGTAGGGAACAGAGGTAACAGGTGGTATACCAGTCATCTGGCCAGCTGGTCCAGGAGCAGCTGAAATTTTCAGAGCTTCTGAAGGTACCTGACCACCCATCAAGGCCTGTTGGTAGAAAATACCAGCCTTATCTCTTGGTAAGTAGGAAGGAGAAGTTGCAGGTAGTAAGCCAGTCTTCTGGTCAGCTGGTCCAGGAGCAGCTGGAACTTTCAGAGCCTCTGCAGGTATCTGTCCACCTGGCATAGCCTGATGGTAGAAAATACCAGTCTTTTCTCTAGGTGAGTGAGAAATGGATGGTACAGTTGGTATGCCTGTGTTCTGGTCATCTGATCCAGGAATACCTGAAACGTTCAGTGCCTCCTCAGTTAGATAACTATCTGGCAAGCCCTGTTGGTATAAAATACTGGGCTTCTCCCTATAAGGGTAGGAAGGAGGTGGTTCTATTGGCATCCCATACTTCTGGTCAGCTGGTTCAGAATTATCTGAGACTTTTAGACTCTCTTCAGTTAGATGACTATGGGTCAATGCCATTTGGTTAGGAGCATCAGTGTGTAGACCAATAGTATTCCCTTGTAAAGAACTTATAGCCAACTGAGGTAAGTCCTCAGGGTATAAGGATAAATGAGATTCAATGTCTGAATCTTCAGTAGTGGTAGTGATACCCAATTTCAACTTGGATTGAGTTATTTCAGGTATGCTTCCTTCAGAAGAGTCTCCTAAAGAAATAGATTTGTTAATATTATAAATTTTGTCAATAAAAAAAGAAATCAAACAAGCATCACCTCCTTGGGCCTCTAAACTTTTAGAAATGAAATCTATAGCTGGGCGCTAAGCAACTCAGTGAGACCCTGTCCCTAAACAGAAATACAAAATAGGGCTGGGGATGTGGATCTGTGGTCCAGTGCCCAAGTTCAATCCCTGGTACCAAAAAAAGAAATAAAAAGAATCCTGTGGAAATAATCATCAAAGGAAACAAATGTCCATGAAGACACTAATTACAAAGCAAACTAACGTAAAAATTATCAACAATAGAGTAACAGTAATATCAACTTAATGAAATATTTTATAGATCTTAAAAAATTTAAAGAATTTTCAATGGGACAGCAAAATACCATTGGGTCTGGGATTTGATTTCAATCTGCTTGCAATCTAATAGCTGTTGTTGTGTCATGAATGCTGACAGAAAACATAAGGTTCTTTGTCAGGGAAATTTCTTTTATTATTAGCTTATTTTCAAGGGCTCCTCTCAGCCTCAAGTGCCACAGGGGCAATGCAATACAGATGCTATGCATGCAGTGAGTTTGACCAACTCCTTATATATTACATATATTTTATATGGAAAGAGAGATCTATATAGACATTGTTTTCTTTTCGTTTTGGGGATTGAATCCAGCGGCACTTAACCACTGAGCCACATCCCCAACCCTTTTTTATATTTTATTTAGAGATGGGGTCTGGCTCAGTTGCTTAGGCCCTCATTAAGTTTCTGAGGCTGGCTTTGAAATTCCAATCCTCCTGATTCAGCCTCTGGAGCTGCTGGGATTATAGGCATGTGCCATGGTGACTGGCATGGTTTTTATTAAGTATATGAAACTGTATAAGACTAAAGGTACACTAAGAAGTTTGAACTTAATTCTATAGGCATGACCACTTTGATAAGAACTATAATGCATCAATACAGATTCAAGGCAGATAAAAAGGGAATAAGAGTGTTTAAACAGAACAACCCACCAGAACTTTCTGCAATAATACAAATGTTCTGTATTTTCACTACTAGAGTAAATCTAAATCAAAGTAGTTCTAAATAGCAGTGTAAATGAATGACTACAACACAATAAAAGGATTTAACAAGTTGTATATTAATTCATTTATTCATTCAAAAAAATATAAATCCTTATGATGTGCGAGACATCATCCTAGATAAAGGTAAATACAATAATAAAAAAAAAAAACAGACAATTCCTACTTCACAGAGTTTCCATCCTAAGAGGAGGAGGCAAAATAGGGTATGTTAGATATAATATGGTTGTTATACACAGCACACATTACCTATCTTTTACATACAGCAAAACTGATTTCCCAAGATAATTATACCACAGTGCTTCTCAATGTGAGTTATCTTGTTAACTTGTAGGCTCTGATTCAGCAGATCTAATGAGATCTGAAATTCTCCATTTTTACAAGTTCTCTTGTGATACTCAATGCAATATATTGGTCCTTAGACCACATGTTGAACATTGAAGATATATAATTTTTCTAGAGTTCTAAAACAAATGACAAAAACTAGTACCTTAACCCTTCAATTCTGAGTTCTAAACTCTTTTCACTACAACTGACTGCCCTTCCTAAAAGGCCTCTGGTGAGCTTCAAAGTAGCTAAATACAGAAGAAGATGAGTTGAGGCATGAATCGTAGAATTAGAAGTATCAACTATACAGAAAAACTGAAAGCAAAAGAAAATATGTAAAAACTGCACTGCAACCTGAGAAGTAATATGGGTTATGAATATTTTGTGAGGAAATAAAATAGGCCCAAGTCGAGAAAAAAAATAAAACAGATTAATAACACAAAACCTTTTTATTCCAAACAACTTCCTAACTTTTTGACTTTACATTTCTTTGATCATTACAAATTATCAGTGATATCATGAAGGGAACAAATGAGTTAAGAAACAGCCAAGGAGTTAAGATACAGAACCCAGATTCTTGAAAGATATAACAGTTTATATAAGATAGCAATACCTTAAGTAGAAATACCTTATGAGGAAGAAAAAGGTTAGTAAAGAAAACTTGAATAATTGGAGTAAGCTGCTAAAAGTAAAAACCAGGAAGTATCCCCCCCAGCCTTAAAAAAAAAAAAAAAAAAACTGAGAATAAAAGGATTAAAAAAAAAAAAAAAACATAAGTTGGGCAAAGATGGGGCATAAAGGATGGGGAAAGGAAATGTTCCAAACAGAGCAAAGAGTATCTGCAAGGTTGAGGAGACAAGAGGGTTTAGCATGAGGAAATGACAGTAGTTCAATATGATTAAAAAGGCAAGTAAGGGTAAAGCTAAAGATATGAGCAGGGACCTTTTACAACATATCAAGGAGTTTTTAAATTATCCCTAGGAATTTACAATTCGTCCTGAGGGAAAACAAGGATTTCAATCTAAAAGTAACACTATCAAGTCTGCCTTGTAAAAAAAAAAGACTATTCTGCAGAGAAATGCAAATCAAAACCACCCTAAGATACCATCTCACTCCAGTAAGATTGGCAGCCATTACAAAGTCAAACAACAATAAGTGCTGGCGAGGATGTGGGGAAAAGGGTACACTTGTACATTGTTGGTGGGACTGCAAATTGGTGCAGCCAATTTGGAAAGCAGTATGGAGATTTCTTGGAAAGCTGGGAATGGAACCACCATTTGACCCAGCTATCCCCCTTCTCGGTCTATTCCCTAAAGACCTAAAAAGAGCATGCTACAGGGACACTGCTACATCGATGTTCATAGCAGCACAATTCACAATAGCAAGACTGTGGAACCAACCTAGATGCCCTTCAATAGACGAATGGATTAAAAAAAAAATGTGGCATTTATACACAATGGAGTATTACTCTGCATTAAGAAATGACAAAATCATAGAATTTGGAGGGAAATGGATGGCATTAGAGCAGATTATGCTAAGCGAAGCTAGCCAAGCCCTAAAAAACAAATGCCAAATGTCTTCTTTGATATAAGGAGAGTAACTAAGAACAGACTAGGGAAGAAGAGCGCGAGAAGAAGACCAACATTAAACAAGGAGGAGAGGTGGGAGGGAATGGGAGAGAGAAGGGAAATTGCATGGAAATGGAAGGAGACCCTCAGGGTTATACAAAATTACATACAAGAGGAAGTGAGGGGAAAGGGAATAATAATACAAGGGGGAGGAATGAATTACAGTAGTGGGGGTAGAGAGAGAAGAGGGGAGGGGAGGGGAGGGGAGGGGGGATAGTAGAGGATAGGAAAGGTAGCAGAATACAACAGACATGAGTATATCAATATGTGATTCAATGGAAGTGTAACTGATGTGATTCTGCAAGCTGTATACGGGGTAAAATGGGAGTTCATAACCCACTTGAATCAAAATGTGAAATATGATATATCAAGAACTATGTAATGTTTTGAACAACCAACAATAAAAAAATTTTAAAAATTTTAAAAAAAGACTATTCTGGCTTTTATAAAAAAAAAATAGAATGGCAGAAAAGATGACCTGTTTTCTATTACTAACGCAGTAATCCCAAAAAGAGAAATTGAGAGTATTTGAATCAACAGTATTGGGTAACTGAAGAAGGATGAAGGTGAAAAAATACAAATTTCTGACTTGGCTTAGCAGACCTTCACACAATTAGAAGAAATACTGAAGGTTTGAAGAGATGATGATTTGTCCAGTGTTTGAAGTTCTGAAGTTAAGGTGCCTCTGAGACAACCAAATGAAGATATTCCATAGACAATCAGATTGAAATATCTGGAGTACAAGACACATCTAGATGGGAGTCCTACATCTGGTACTATAGAAAGTAACTGAAGCCTTAAGTATAGATAACATCTCAAAATTAAGATCACTTTTTGCACAAAGCATTATTTCCCACAATGTTTCTATCTGCTTCTGTAAACAAGCTAAGGACAATCAGTACTGTACCACAATAACTGATGCTTTTAGAAAATAATCATTAAAACTTCCCTGCCTTTAGTATGTACCATGGTTTGTATTCAGCATTAATTGAAATGAAATATGATGTTCTCTCTGAGGGAGGGAAAACATTTTTTTAAAAATTTCTTAGTTGTCAATGGACCTTTATTTTATGTATTTATATGTGATGCTGAGAATCGAACCCAGTGCTTCACACATGCTGGCAAGAGTTCTACCACTAAGCTACAACCCCAGCCCATGAAGAAGAAAATTTTTATAAACAGTGGTGTGCTATATTTATGAAAAGTAAGAGGGACATTTAAATTTTTTAAAAGGAGGGGGGAGAACAATATGGAAATGAAATAATCAAATACTCTTAAGCTAAGCCTGAAATTACAACTAGAATGTAAAAAGACTGAGAAGAAAGGAAATGTCATCATCCCAGGAAAGGGAAAACCAGAAGTAAAATATCAAAAGAATAAACACAACTCTTCAGGTAGGAAGGTAAATGCAAACAACAACAAAATGCCTTGCCTAGTACCAAAATATACAGGAAAGAAAATGAAGATTGAATAAATAGAAAGTCTTGGTAATCAATCAGAAAGAGTTGAGATCTGACATGGAGAAAGGAGAACACATCATCAATATTCAAGGAGAATATGAGTTGAGTTTATAGAAGATAAAAGATAGTATGAATGAAATGAGTGGCCTAAGATGGCAGCACAGGCTACCAGGCTCTCACTCTTGTTCATTCTATGTGTCTTGCATAATTTCCCTTTCAAAATTGGGATACCTAATATTGAGACAGCCTTAGAAGGTAGTGAGAATTAAATCTGTCAAAAAATTTTTTGATTAAAAACATAAAGGGTTTGATAAAAACAAAGGGTAGAACCAAAACCTATAAAACAATATATAAATATATACATATAAATCTCTATATCCACCAGCCTTCCTGAAATCACCTTGCTGAGGGTAAAGTGATTCATTTTCTCTCTACTGCTTGTAGCCCTCTTCTTGTTTTTAAAATAACTTTAAATAAACAAAAAACAGAATAATAGCTCTC